TAATAAGATGTTAATGATCGTTATTACCAAATGTGTTTATACTTAAGAATATTTAAATTTAAAATATTTAAGTATTTTGAATATTGAATACTACACTACAACATTTTATTAATTGTTTACCTTCATGTATAAAATTTGACTAAAGCAAACTTCCATTAATATCAGTATATTTGCTAAGACGTATCGCTGAATAAAAAATAGATAATTTACAATCTTGAGAAAGAAAAAAATATTATATTTTAGCTGTAAATTTAGAATGATAAAAATGTAAAAATTAGTGGTTTTTGAAGGACGTAATGCATGGGTAACTATAGCAACCGTCCATGGCAACAGCTCGGATATTTTTTGGTTGGCTTCCAATAGGAATATTGGATCCGTGAGTGATTTCCAGTGTACACAGAAATAGAAATAGAGCGAAAACTTGCACTTTCAGAAACAAAATTATCAGTAAAACTAGAGAAGAAAACCAAAATAAATAAGTTGTAATTAGGAAATTAGAATGGGCTATAAATAGCATAGGATAATGGGTTGGGGGAAACATGAAAGAACTTCTGAAGACGTGGTTAATTAAAATAAAATGACTGGAGAAAATAACACACGAATATAAAAAAAACGAATGATAAAAAAATTAAAATTATAATACTAGCACAAAAGTCAAAAAGTAATATGCTGAAATAAGTAAAATGATTGAAAACTGAAGAATCTTTATACTTTTAGTTAACAAAGAGATGTAACAATGGTTAATTATCAACGTTAGAATCCACGGATTCAGAGAGAGACAATACATTAAGCTCATTTCAGTTCTCTGCATGTTTACATTCAGTCTTTCTCAGTATCGATGGAGATGCTCAGTTATTAATGGTTTTGGTTTTGTTATAAATCATTTATTAACCGCTGTCTGTAGTAGCCAATGTAACACATTTCGGTTTATGGTGTTAGAAACAAGTTAAGCCTACCTACACATAATAGTTTGCAATTAATTTATTCACATATTTATTAATCATATAATTCATAAATGTTTATAATTCTTATATATAATTGCCCAGAGAACATTAAACGTGATTTGAAAACCGAGCTTCGAGGCTCAAAATGTGCGAAGATAGAAAGTTTTGTCAGGTTAGAAACGTAGTAACTGGTGCAGTTTAGATGTGAATGTAATATAATTATAAGGTATCGATCAATTGGTTCCTTTTCTAATAATTAATGTTGGATAAAGAACATTATGGTTCAGGGTCGATGAAGTAGATCCTGTTCTAGTAATTTATCTTGGAAACAAAAACTATCCAATATTATTATAAGAGGTTGCTCCCGTCTACCCATTAATCTTCACAACAGAACACATTCGAATATGACTCTAAGGGACCGACCAACTAGTTTCTGCTCTAACAATTAATCTTAGATTGTTATAATTGTTTTGTTTTTTTTAATTTCGTGCAAAGCTACATAAGAGCCATCTGCGCTAGCCGTCCCTAACTTAGCTGTGAAAGACTAGCGGGAAGGCAGCTAGTCATCACCGCCAACCGCCAACTCTTGGGCTACTCTTTTACCAACGAATAGTGGGATTGACCGTAACATTATAAAGCCCCCACGGCTGAGAGGGCGAGCATGTTTGGTGAGACGAAGATTTGAACCCGCGACCATCAGATTACGAGTGCCCTAACCACCTGGCCATGCCGGGCCACTTAGTCTTGGAAACAGAACCCTTTCTGATTATGCTTGTAAGCCCCAGTGGCACAGTGGTATGTCTGCGGAATTATACCGATAGAAACCGGATTTCGATACCCGTGGTGAGCAGAGCACAGATAGCCCTTTGTGTAGCTTTGTGCTTAATAACAAACAACAGCGTGCTTGTAAGGGATCGATCAAGTGATTCCGGTTCTAGAAATTAATCTCGACAACAGAAGACATTTCAGTGTGATTGTGGGGGATTAATGTTCCCCCTCCTGCTATGGATTTTATAACATTCCCCCAAGGATTTTGAAATTGTGGTAAAGGTTATAAAGCACAAAAGTGCCTTATTGTGGGAACTAATACCAGAAGTTGTTTGAGAACGTATGGAGCCGATGTAATTAAGAAATATTCGGAATCCGGCTTAAACTTGTAGGTATCGAGCGCACTACTACCGCAAGGATATAATCCTAGTAAAAAGTTAGCTTGTATATATATATATATATAATCTCATAGTACCTCATGCATAGCAGTTGCATTATGGTTCAGCTCGCCCGTACTCTCCAGGAATATCAACCTAATTGATCATCAGTCTTGTTGCTCACAAGAATCATAACGATACTCCAAATGATGACACGTGGGGAGCTACAAAAGATTAAAAAAATATATTAATTTATTCTAAATTAATTTGTTAGAGGAAATATAGAAGACCATTTATCATTGCGAAATTGTGAACTTTATTGAAATTGGAAAAATAATTACTTAAACGACAAAGAAAACCTGTATTAAGATCTCAGAATCCCAAATCCAGGATAACAACAACAACAAAGACTAAATATTGAATATTATAGTATATCTTTGAAAAATAATATGGAGGATAATTGTTCTATAATATATATTTTCTAGACATATATTTATTATGTCATATCTTTATGGCAATTAACTAGAAATAAAACGTTACAGCCTTAGTTGTCGAACTGTTGAGACACTAAACAAACAACGTGAAACGGGATAACATTAGAGAAAGATCGACATGACACGTGAAGAACGTATCACATTGTTTGCGTATAACAATATAACATTTACACGTGAGAGGCACGTACTGTTACCGTATCTATAGTTGAGATTTATAATGAAGATAAAATGATAACAAAAGAGGAAAAACGATCAAACATAATCTATATAAATATAATAGTACTGTCCATGTAACTACTTCGCAGGGTGTGGATGGATCTTAACCCAAAATTGGTATGGAGGTTCATTAGGTCCATGCGGGGGTACATACAAACGTTCAAATTTGCATTTTGCGTTTTGCGGTTTTTATTGACCTTTTTGCATTTCTTAGCACTATTTCTGGTCCTGTAGATGGATTGTCACTAAATTGGGTATGGAGGTTTATTGGGTCCAAGAAAAGATACGTAGAAATGTTCAGTTTTAGGTTTTGTGGTTTTATGGGCATTTTTGCGTTTTTTATTACTACTTCGCCCACTGCAGATGGATCTTCACCAAATTTGGTATGAAGGTTTGTTGAGTCCATGTGCAGAGTTACAGTTTCACATTTTGTGTTTTTCAGTTTTTATGGGCGTTTTTTTTTTTTTTTTTTTTTCAATTACATATAAGGGAAACAACTTTTCATGCCGTAAGATAACCTTTCATTAATCACGAGTTTACATAATTTCCGTCCTGGGTACAGGTATTTCAGCTACTATTAAATATGAAGGTTTTTGCACAAGTCACTTAACACGCCAGTAAATAGATTAATTGTTACCTTCATTTCTATGTTTACCCTTTCTCAGTGATAAACATCTGAGTATTTCTAACCTTAAAACTTCTAGTTACATCCCTCTTACTACTTGTTATTTTAGCAACTTACACATATAAATAGATCATTCTGATTACGATATTTCAGTAAGAGAACAACGAAATAGATTCCATGGATCTATTAAAACTGTCTTTGAGAAACGCCTTTCTTTCTTTTTGCGTTAGGACTAACACTCAATGGGAGATCAACTGGTGTTCAATAATTACATTTCTACGACGACCTTCATTCGATAAAAGGATTGATGACGTGTAATTAATTAACCCATCCTTGAGAAACTTAATATAGATCAATTGTGAAGCATGAAATCAAAGTAACGATGCGAGTGAATGGGGGGAGGGTATATTATATTTATATAAGAGAAAGTTTTATGTGCCGACCATCGTGTTTTTAGTCATATTCGTACATCAATCAACCAGCTGTTGATTAATATTTTTCTATATCTAAATTTAAATTAGTTAAATCGTTGAATCTTAACTTTTATGTTCAAGTCAATGCAGGTCTGTTTCAGCATTCAAGAACTACATAAAAATATTTAAAGTTGATTTAAGCCAACTATATTATGTTATATGTTATTTTAAGCCGATTATAATCTGGTAATGTTATTTTATGTCAACTATATTCTGGTATATATTAATTTAAGCCAATTACGTTCTGGTATAATAAATATATAATAATAATTATAGTAATGTTAAACATATGTCCCTACATTCATGCTCATTGTGGCTCATCGGTACGTTTTTAGGCTTAAGACTCTAAAAATCTGGTTTCTATACCTGTGATAGGCAAAGCACAGATAACACATTGTGTGGCTTTTCGCTTAACAACAACAACCAAACTGAAATTCATTTTGATATGAGCTGGATGTCAAAATTTTAACATAATTCATTGGTTGCGGCAGGTAATCAGATGATATTAATTGATATTGATATAAATCTGAAAATATGTTGTTTACTTTACATGAGCGTTATGCCACGATTCAAAGCTAGAAGGAAAATATTTCGGTTTTGAGGAACACTTAGACTCTAAGCCCTTAAAACTGATCCACAGACGTGGTAATTCTCAGGACCTAAAGTCCTGTGTCCGATTCCACGTGGTGGACAGAGCGCATACAGATCATAGTTTAGCCTTGCGTTAAAACAACAACGATAAATAACAAATATTAGAAGTATATTGTAAAATATATAATGGGCAGATCAATCATATTTCTTTGTATAGTGTTGTATTTAACTAAAAAAGTATCACAAAACATTAAAATATATTCTTTAGTGGCGACCTCTAGATTATCTGCTTATTTGTTTTATCGCTGAGGCCTTTAACATATTGAACTTTAAAGTAAAAACATTTATTTAACTACTATCCAAGAGCACTAATACCGAACTTTAAAATATAAGATACACAAACATTTTATATGTATATTCTAGATTTTTTGTGGTCTATTTTCAATATGGTAACATATATGGTATATTCTAAACCTTTATCAGTAAAAATATAATTGTCCTCTCTTTTCCAGAAATACTGACACGACGTCTGTTCTTCTACTTTTATATATAAAAAGGGAAGCACAGTAAACCTCAATTATTTGAAATGAATGATCTTGAAATGGACACAGTAAATATTTCTACCGTCATCTATGACACACTTCTAAATGAAAGCATGGACAACATCACCGAACATCTATTGAAGAAGCTACAGTCTTATGTGAATAACAGGGCCATAAATGACTCAGCTTTAACTGTTTTACTTCTGGCCTACGTCTTACTAATCCTTGCAGGTGCTAGTGGCAATGGTCTGGTATGTATGGCTGTAGCCAGAAAACCTCAGATGCGAACCTCCAGGAACGTATTCATCATCAACTTGGCGATATCTGACCTTATATTATGTCTGTTTACCATGCCCTTCTCTTTGGTAGAGATTGTTCTGAAGTTCTGGCCTCTTGGGGTCATCACCTGTAAACTAGTAGCCAGCCTCCAAGCCACCAGCATCTTTGTGTCCACAATCAGCATTACAGCTATTGCCCTGGACCGATATAAAGTAATAGTCTACCCTACCCAGGAAAGTTTTCGCCCAGTCCACGCTGTCTGCACTCTTATCTCCATCTGGACAGTGGCCTTGTTACTGTCCATTCCTTTGTTTATATTTCGCACTGTCGACCACATCCACGTGGGGCTACCGTGGCTTGATTCTGTGGACTATTGTCTGGAACGCTGGCCTCTGGACCACGGCCGTGCTTTCTATTCCGTATTCTCTATGATTTTCCAGTACGTCCTACCAATAGTCATAGTAAGCGTTGCATACGCCAGGATCTGTCGAAAGCTAAAGAACAGAATGGCTACCAATTGCTCAAAGCTCGAGGAGAAGCAGGAACGGGATAAAAAGAGAGTCCAGAAGACAAACATCCTGCTAATCTCGATTGCTCTCATCTTTGGCATCAGCTGGCTCCCCCTGAATATTTTGAATATCATAGTCGACTTTCACTACACTTTCCAGGATCCCTCTGTCTTTCGGATTGTTTTTGCTTGCTGTCACATGGCTGGTATGAGTTCGGCTTGCTCTAACCCATTTCTTTATGGCTGGCTTAATGAAAACTTTCGGAAGGAATTCAAAGACATCTTTTCAACTTGTTACACCTCATTTTCGTACAACAAAAGATCCGCTAGGGGAGAGACAACGGAGTCTATTCTGCTCTACTCAAGAGCCAATGGGAACAAAACAGGAAGAACCGACATTAGAAAGTACGATACTGTAGTTGTGACAACTAATCTGAGATGAATCACTGGTCAGGCAGGTCTGAAGATCCCACCGGCCTCGTTCTCGTGGATTCCCTCAGTTTCGAATACAAGAATAATCTCCAGTTTTCTGGAAACATCTATAAACACACTTATCTTCTACTAGCGCTCTAAAGTACCCTTTCTAGTCTACATTTAAGACAATAATTAAGATAACCACCTGTATGAATACAGGTGTAAGTTTGTGTGTGTGTGTGTGGCTGCTTAAGTGTTAAAATATTATACTTCTATTAAGTGTTTCGTGTTATTTGAGCTATGTAAACAAAGATATTGTGTAAACAAAAAGATTGTGATGTCACAGTTGAATTTAGTGTAGCAGTTTCTAATTGTAGTCTTCAGATTCAAGAAAGCTCCAAACGGGTTGAAAGATAAATAGGTACGATGAGAAGATCTTAATAGCTGTGTGTTCCAGTTTACGTGTCAACTAAATAAATGTATAATCTAAACATATATTTGTCGTATTTATATATTCAATGTATACTTGTGTGTATACGAAACTCCGTATATTTAGCTAATCGTTTAACTCGTATATATATATATTCCAAAACATTGCATAAAAACATTTCTTGAGTTAGCGTTCAGTGGCGTAACTATAAAAGATGGACTCCCACATAAAACGTAATTGGGTCCTCTACATTTATTCTTATGCGGGTTCATTTACAATCTATGAATTTAGTTTCTCTCAGTGGTATATTAAAATTGTATTAGAAATATTTAAATGTAATAAATATGAAAGCTACTATTATTAAAGAAGGTATTTTACGAGTATATTAATTCAACCATTAATATTGAGATTTGCTTCATCAATATATTCCATGTCTCCTCCCCATATTTGAAATGGAATTGATGTTATTTGAAGAGATAATAAATAAAGTTATTCCATCTTTTTTGTGTGTCTTTTTGATTTATATGGCTGAGTTCATACTCAATTCTATCAAGACGGGCCCGGCATGGCCAGGTGGTTAAGGAGCTCGACTCACAATGTGCGGGTCGCGGGTTCGAATCCCAGTCCCACCAAACATGCTCGCCCTTTCAGCTGTGGGAGCGTTATAATGTGACGTTCAATCCCACTATTCGTTTGTAAAAGAGTAGCCCAAGAGTTGGCGGTGGGTAAGGATGACTAGCTGCCTTCCCTCTAGTCTTACGCTGGTAAATTAGGGACGGCTAACGCAGATAGCCCTCGTGTAGCTTTGCGCGAAATTCAAAACAAACAAACAAACTATCAAGACAAGATTATTTTGTATATTTAATATCTGTACGTTAAAACTGGTTAATTGACTTTTCTGTTTCTCAGTGATACAATGAAGTATGAAAAGCTATGAACATTCTTGACCAAAAAACAAAGAAATCAAAGACAATAAAATGGAAGAGTCGTTCCGAAACGCTATCTTCACGTGAAAAAATGAAACATTTCTCATGGCGCAACAAACGTAAATCAGTTATACTGGAATATTTCAGATTTAGCTAGAATGATCGAACTTATTTAGTCATTTTCATTTTAGGAATGAAAAGTTTTTAACTTTAGCTCAGTTTTAATAAATAAAAAGTATTTTGTATTTTTAAGGCTTAATACCTTAATCCATATTAATTACTATAACTCTGAATATCGAAGGGCAACTTTGGTGAATCAGAACTTTCATTTATCTATAGCTGACACCAGAAAATTGCTATTTCCCGACTATTGTTTTTTCTTTTCCGCAAAACCTGGGATTACAATCGTTTTTGTGAGATCTAACGTACGTTCTGTAAACAGATACTAGTTACAATCCCTGTTTATCTCTGTAACTGCAATATCATCAAGGTGATATTCTAATACATAGTCAGTCATTTAAACTTTTTTTTAGTTTATACCAAAATAAAATTTCAGTATAATGATACGTCATGTACACGTGAGCTAAAGACCCAAGAGACCATGTATAGCCGTTCCAAAACTAAATTACTAACCAGAAGAAAAGTATTCTGTCAACAGCACCTGCCGCGTCACAGGCTTTGGCTGGCTCTTTAAAGCTAATAACGGGTCTAACTTTCGCTTTTATAAAGCGCCCCAAACTAAAAGAACGAAGCGGGTTCTACGGAACCACGTCTCGAACCAAGGACCTTGGGGGCGTGCACAATTGTATGAATACGGGCATGAGCATTACTAGTGTAGTGCTTTGTATGTTTATGATGTATGTACGTGCGTTGATAAGGTTTATATATCCATATATAGATATGAGTGTGTTTAATGTGTTACCACAATAGAGGTCAAATGTAAATTCCTGCGAACACCTCTGATGGACCTTCAGATACGCAGCCCGACACACCCAGCCCTTTTACTTTAATACCATGATTACGCTATACAAAACTGAAGAAGTTACGAAGTAAACAGAAAGCACAAATAGGTTCAAAACAGATATAATCGAATTTATTTTAAGATTGAGACTATAACTTAACAGTTTGGGTATTTCGTTAAAATTATACTTTCAATATTCTTACTATATAGATTCAGTGGAACGACGGCAGTAACAACGAACATTTGATATGTGTGTGTGTACAGTAACAAACATTTGACACATGTGTGTACAGTAACAAACATTTAATTCTTGAACGTTTAGGAATGTAAATATTCCATCTTCAGCAAGCTATATTGAACTGGGTAAAGTATTAGGTACAAAAACTTTTAAAGTACAAACATTTTGTAAAAAGAGTAATTAAAACACAGAATAAAAGGATGAAATTAATTAAACAAAAACAAAAAGAATAGGATAATGAAACAATTGTGTCATTATATAAAGTTGGGAGTTCATTTATAATAGATAAATTTGTTTTCATTAAAAGTTCCCTATTGGATGATCCAGATGAGATGACTTTGAAATTGTTAATTAAGATGTGGTGGTTGCCGTTTTCACTATGTGTGACAATTTTCAGTCTGGAGGGCTTGATAGTTGTTTGCCAGTTCTGCCTGATACTCCCATATGTTCGTATATTATCAACATACCTTCTATGTAGAGCTGGTTTGTATTCAGCAGTACAGGTGTCTAACCAAAAACACTCATAGTGACAAAGAAATTTGTTAGCAAGAGTCGGCCCTAACGGTGACCCCGTTGTCACGCCATCTATTAGGTCATATAGCTGACCGTTGAAGACAAAGTGGTTATCCATGAGGGAAAGGTTAAGTAATTCTTGGAACTGTTAAGGTTAAAGCTTGATATATCCTTCATTTCTTTAGGGGGAAAAGATTCTTTAAGATTATTTGTATTGTTTCATCGAGTGGAATGTTTGTGAATAAAGATTCAATGTCGAAACTATACATTGACCAGCGTTAATAATTTTAGGAGTTTCTTGTACAAAGGAAAATGAATCTTTAACTGCAAACTCGGTGAATTTGAGTGAAGTTAGAAAAGAAACGAGGAATTTAGCCAATTTATTAATATCAAAAATACGTCTTAAGGGAATGTTGTCTTTGTGGACTTCTGGTAACAAGTTATTTATTTGAAGATTAGCCGTCGAGTAGCGTTGGGCGAAATTCAATAACAACAAAAAAAGTAAACAAAACTTGCTATTCGTGGGGACACTGAGATCAAGAGTTGTACGATGACGCATGCAGCCCATTGGTAAAATTAAGAAGCTACATAATCTTCTTTAGACCTAAATTCTCGGAATCAGGCTTGATCATCAGGGATATAGCATATAACTCAGGTAACCACTTAGCTTATGCGTAACCTCATATTGATCCCATGGGAAAAGTGATCACAAACCTAATCTATCACATCATGACGTGTTGATCCTATAAATAATAAAGGTACTATAAAGTATGACACGTGGAAAGCAACAATTCGAGCTATAAAAAAATTTCAAAAAAAAGTTTTAAATTAATTTCTTAGAGGAAAGAGAGAAGACCATTAATCACTGCAAAATTGGGGGGTCTATTTTATTTGGAAAAAAAAATTACTTGAGAGAATTGTGTATTAAGTTCTCAGAAGAAAATCGCAATCACTGCAAGACAAAGTTTAAATATCTAATAGTTTTAGATAACATTGAACTCCACTATACATCCCAACTGTTCTTAGTTACACATTGTCTAGACGTACCATTATTAAAAGAAAGAATTACATGACACGTGAAGAATTTGTCACATTGTTTCCCGTATAACAATATAATAATCTATATAATATAATAGTACTGTCTCTTGTACGTCCATGTAACTACTTCGCAGGGTGTGGATGGATCTTCACCGAAATTGGTAAAGAGGTTCATTAAGTCAATGCGAAGGTTAGATACAAATTTTCAATTTTGCGGTTTTTATGGGCGTTTTTTACCACTACTTCGCCCCCTGTAGATGGATCTTTACCAAATGTGCCATGAATATTTGTTGGGTCCATGGAAAGATACATGCAAAGTTGCGGTTTCACATTTTGAATTTACCAGTTTTTATGGGCGTTTTTACAATTACATATACAAAGATCAAACGTCACACTATCAAATATGAAGGTTTCCATTAGTAACTTGAAACGTCAGTAAAGAAATTAATTGTTACATCCATTCATTTGTTTAACTTTTCTGTTGATAAACTTCCAAGTCAAGTTCTGATAGGTGCGTTCATCGTCATCGAATTTCAACTTCCGAATATTTCTATCCACAAAGCCTCTAGTACAGTTATTTTAACAATACCAAACATAAATATATCATCCTAACGGTGTCCGTCACTACTGAGGTATTCAGAAACAGTACACTGATTATATTCCGGCCTTGCTAATAACCTGGTCAACATACCCTGGCTATTACTCCAGGAATAACCGCTAAACTTTCTATAATATTACAGTAAACATCAGGGTAATGTGGTTGAAGATGGCTTGAATGGGTAATGAAGAAAAACTTTAATATAAGTTTAACATAACAGCAAATGTACAACGTACCTGATGATGACAAAATCCTTATCGAAACGTTGTACAT